GGGGGGGGGGGGGGGGAAATCAAAAGAAAACAAACCCCATTTTCTGTTCAAGAGAAAAGGTCAGAGAGTACAGGTGGTTTATCATGCACGCTTAACTCAGGAAGGCAGGAGTTTAACAGTTTCTACAGCAAAACCAGGGAGTGGTAAGGGGGTGAAGAATACAAGGAAAAAAACAGCTTGTGGCATCTGAACACCACAAAAAACAGGTTAACAGAGGTGTCGGGAAAAAGGCTAAGGCATGGCTACAAAGGAGTCAGACCCTAAGAACATTTTAGAAGCTTCCAAAACAGGAAGCAATGTTAACAGTAAGTGACTGTCTTGCTGCAGGAAAGCATGGAAGGCAGCACATTCTGACTTCAGCCTACAGAAAAGTCACTGGCATTTGGACAAAACGCAGGTTTAAAAAGCAGAGAGTCAGGAAAAATAAAGTAACGGCATTAGCTTTCATCTTACCTGGTGTTGACACAAGCTGGCATACAATGGTTGTCAAATCAGTATGATTAAAGCGATGATTCAGTGACCGCAGGTTGATTCACACACCTAGGAATGCACAAAAAAAGTAAGTATTAGCTGTGAATACACAGGGGATAAGAAGGGCAACTGCCACATAAAGAGCTGGAAGACTGAGGGGTAGATGCAGCTCTATTATGTTTTCAGAACACAAGCACACAGCTATGCTTCAGGTATTAGTCATTACCCACAAAATTCAGATCTGGGTTTGAGATATACGGCAGAAGTTACTCAAAACCAAATACTCAAAACTACCCTCACGCATTCCATTTAAAGATTCGAAGTATAAGAAGGGAACAGATCATAGTTTCAAGCATAGCAGAGTGTTACCGAAAACATTTTTCAGCAGCACTTACGCTTTGTAATTTTTTTTTTCCAGTGAGACAGAAAATTCTGAGAAGTTGCCTGAAACACATAGACTAGAACTGCATCAAGTCCAGCCATCAGATACAAACATACACGTCTACAAATAAAATCTAGTGGTCACAAATACTGCATACTTCCTAAACAAGCACAGAAATAAATTTCCTTTCTCCTATGGTGCCAAAAAACATGGGTATGTTTTATTGTCTCTTATCCCCCCACATACCCTTTTTATTCCACATTAATATTAAAAATTCCAAGACTTAGAGAAGAGATGGTTATTAATAAGGTAACCTTCTCTGCTTGGGAAAGCACAGCAACTACCTGAGAACCGGGCAAACTGGCCATGCAAAAGTGAAAGTAAAAGCTGTGCAGCTGAAAGGAATTTTTGTCTAGGCTGCTTAAAGCTCGCCTTCCTTGTTAAAACATTTCACTGTCACATTTAAATGGCAGCTTTCTGAGTCCCAGAAGCGTGCAAGCCCTGCAAGACAGCAAACCAGAAACAGACTTGAGATGGAGGTTCTCACGGCTAATGAAATTAAAAGTAAGCCTAGCAAACGCCTTTTTGTGTCTCTCATTCAACTTAAATCATCATACGCTTACCAAAGGACGCAACCCCTGATCATACAACCCCGCTCCCCATACTTGTGAAGCAGTTTTTAACAGCTCTCCCTTAGTAGGCCTGCACGGTTTTACAGTCTCTGCTCACAAAGCCAGGGCAAAGCCGGCAGTGAGTCTCCAGCACGTTTTTGTTGCACATCACAGAACCAGTTTGCTGCATTTCAGGATCACACAGCTCTCTGCAATAATGCGTTACTTTTATAAATATGTACTACTAGTTTTTCCTAGGGGGAAAGCGGGAGCCTCCCTCTCCTGAAGCAAGCAGCATGCCCTTTTCGGACTTTCAAAAGGAGCGAGGGGCCCTCGGAGAGGAGCTGGGTTTAAAGCTTTCAGGATGATCCCACATATGGCCATCAGGTCGCCAGTGGCATATGCGGCGGCAGATGGAGAAGTGAAGCTTTCGTACCCTCTGAGCAATGCTCTGCAATTCTGACACTTTTCTTGAAAAGCAAGAGATGTCAATCACCCTTCCAGGCTGCTGTTTTGGCGCAGAAAGGATTCTCCTCAGGCTGTGTACCAACACAGAAGGATAACCTATTTTGGGGGCAGTTTCTGTCTTAGCTTTCACATATAATGAATCCCCACACAGCAGAGGATGATAAATTACTGTTAAGTCGTCTTCACTGCACATCAGCTTTCTTTTGCCTTTTGACTCATTACAGAGCAACACATACCCAGCACACATCTTTACCTTCCCCCCGCACCTCATTTAAAGATGGTTTAATTAAGATTAGAGCACCTTACCAGGTCTAATAAATAAAATGCCTTACAAGAGATATTGGCACAAACGAGCTCCAATACCCGAAGGAGATTCTGGCACACCCTATGGTGTAAATATGTTAGTGCGGGCTGCTTCAGTATCTACTCCTTGAAGACTTTCCAGAAGTTATTTACCACGAAGAAAAAAAACCCCAAACATCTTAAATAGGCCAGAACCATTCAAGTATTTCACTAATCTATGTATTTAAAACTACACATACAAACTGTAGCTCCTTTCAAAGCAAGCTGCCTTTAACAGCTACCGCTGAAAATCAAGTTGCAAGTTTAGCTACTGAAACATCTGTACTTTTATACAGCCAAGAACATCACTCTCAAGCTCACTTACAGAAATTGGGGGTTTGGGGTTAGGAGGATATTGTTGGACTGGGGATTTTTTTGTTTGGTTTGGTTTTGCTGTTGGGTTGGTTTTTTGGTTTGTTTTGGGTTTTTTTTTGCAAGACTGATGTATCAACAGGATTTCCCTCTTAAAACTTGTGCTCTGTTAAGAGTCCTGCAGAAAGACATCCAATACTCCAATATAACTTATCTTGGTTCCCAAACAAGATGCAAACTTGGTTTTGATCAGAGATTCTCTCAATTCCCACTCATTTTATTACAAAACCCCATTAAGCCAATGCAGGAAAAAAACAGGAACAGCAGCAAACCACAGCAACATTTAATTACAAGCCAGGAGGAAAATGAGTTGAGGAAAAATGTAAACAGCTTTAAAGTTTTCAAAATGGTTCTGGAGCTTTTAAGGTGTAAGCTAAGGAAGCTACGGACAGAGACACAGTATTGAAACTGGTTCACTTCTGAGCGTGAGGTTAAAGCGGTGGACATTCAGTTCAAGCTTCTACAAGGAAGTCATTCCTATGGCAAGTGAATTTACACTGCCGGACTGAAAGTCATTCTAGTCCATAGCATAAATACAAGGCAGTGTTTCATTTTCCACATAAAAGTGTTTCCAGAAGGCAGTTTCCCTTTACCCTGCTTTACCAGCTCCAAAAGCTGTACTTCACATTGCCTATATGGTTACTGCTGCAGAAGTGATGACCAACCCGTTCCACTTAACACCCACTTATACTAGGAAGCAAACTTGCTGCTGGGTGGGCTGGTTGCCAGGATCACAGTTCCCCAAGGGAATCACCAGTGACATGAGACACATGGACCCTTTGAGCTGTGGGGAAGGTGCTCAGCGTACACTCTGCTTTCGGAGCCTGACCGCTGTTCAATACATGGGCAGAGAAAGCCAGAAACTGGGGGAAGGGGACAACTGAAGCAGCAGGGAAGAGGTAGGGGGTTTATACATCTAACTTCTGGTCCCTCAGCTCTTTGACATCATGAGTTTCCTTGATAAACTGTCTTGAATCATCACACACAAACATCATCAGTTTAAAATAAATAAATAAGCAAGCAAACAACAGGCCAGGCTTCGACTGCTCTCTTCTTAGCATCACTAGGCTCAGTTTAAAAATACCCTGTTTGCAGAGTGCATCGCACAGCAAGCCGTGCGAGAATGGCAAGCTCCCTGTGAGAGGGCACGAGCTGCCACTGCTCAGTAACACAACAAACAGCACACAAAACGGCGGTGAAAATATTTCTTGCTACACACAAAAAGCGCACTGCCTGAAATTTATAGGAAGCATTTCCACTGGTTAAACTTAAAATCAATTTCTGCAGCTGCACAGCAGACAAGCCTGCTAGCAGAGTCAAGGAAAACACTGCCTGTGTAACTGCCGAACAGCAAAGCTGGGTGAATTGCACAGGAGTTGCAGAGACAGAGCGCGCTTCATCAGTCCTCTACCTGTCCCTAACCACTACTCTCTGTGCTGGGAGTTAAGTCGTTACGTCTGAAATAATTCCATTTGTACCCAGAATAGCTTCGTAACTGAGATTAAACACGTATGGTGGCACTTCTAAAGACACGACACGTGTCATGACAACTAGATAAACATAATTACAGACTACTGCATCTCTGGCAAGAGAAACCAACTGTAACCAAGACCACGTTACGAGCAAGCATCTTTGCTACTTACGGGTTAAGTTTTCCCCTTTCCTGTTCTAGGAAAAGCCTTTGTGTTTTTATTTACATCCTCCTAGAGCAGAATTCAATCCCTGCTGCCTCTCCTCCCCCCTCCCCGCTCCCCCCCTGCAGCCTTTCAGGAAAGCAGGCCCAGCCGCTGTCAGTGAAAGATCGCCTCTCTCCCAGCTAAGCCTGATCAGCTGGGATCAGCTGCTTATCGCAGCCGACAAGTGGCTCAGAGGGCAGGGGAGCCGCGGGGAGCACCAGCCAGAGCGCACGACGGGCGCAGGCTGGGAAACGCTGGAGCAAGGCTTCCACACTACTGACCTGTCATGCACGTATCGACAGGCAATGGGCTTCTCCAGGAGCATCTCAGGTTAGCAAGAAGAGAGGATCTCAGGGTAGCAAGAAATGCTGCTGACAGAGGCCAGCAGCTTACAGCTGTTTACTCATGAAAGCAGAAGCAGCAAGAGGCATGTTTGGGCGGTATAGCAGTAGATGGCTGCGGTGTAAGCAAGTACACTGATAAAAAGCAGAAGTGATGCAACAGGAACAGACACAGACACAGAAACTCAAGTCTGCAGCTGAGGCGCTGAGGTTAAGACCGCTGCAGACTGCCCTTACTGAGAGCTGAAACAATTCTCCAGGCAGGAATAAAACAGCTGAAAACAAGCATGATCACAGGACAGAACTAATCCCATCAAAATCCCTACACTACAGGCAGGACACACGTTTAGCAACTTCAGTAACCATTGCTCGCTGACTCCCCAGGCAGCTCGTGAGCTCCAGCAGCCATTTCAGTCCACCTTCACATGCTGCACTAAATATAAACTCTGCTGATAAACCGTCTGCAAACTGTTTCAGCAGAGACACAGTGCACTGAACACCTCAAGGACATCGGGCCCTCTGCAAAGACCACAGGTGGCCAATTTGCATGACAAGCAGAGAGAAGGTGACAGAACCAAAAAGTCTCTGCTACAGTAATACCGTGGTTGGGAAATTTCAGCCTCCAGATCAGAACTTTCCCACACCCAGACTTCACTGAAGCATCTGCGTATCAAAAAAAACCCCAAACCTTTAAAGCAGGAACATGAGGGTGCCTGGGTTTTGGCGAGGACTTGCGTAAGAGGAGGTTATGGCTCCCTTGTCATGTGCCTCTCTGCTCTACAATGAGGTGCAACACCACGAAGTGATAACAATCATCTTTGACTTTAAAAGCAAGTTAGATTAGGTTGCAGGTCTTTCGGTCACATTTCCTTCATCCCAGTGGCCCTGTAAAGAAACACACCTTCCTGCTTTCCGACAGCACTCTTGTCTCTAGCAGTCTGTAAAACGCTCATTTATGCAAGAGGACAAGCCAGTGTTAAGAGGGCAGATGAAACTCCAAACAAGGGGGAAAAGAAGTTATTTTCTCCTCCGGGTTTTGCTTACAGAATCACTACCAGAAACAACATGCAAGTTACAAAAAGACAGAAGTGTGATCTGTAAAACTGCCAGGGCCACAACTGGCCACCAGATTACAATACCGGAAAGAATTCTTCTCTCTGCATAGAAATATACCCCTAAAAACCAGTGTGGCACAAAAAGAAGAAAAGGGGGCAAACTTGCAAAGAGATTTATGACAGACACCTTAAGAGGAGGCGGCGGATGAAATCAATGATAAACTGCAGACACAAAAGCACTGATCCTTAGAGCACTAGCATTTAATATGCAAGTTCTCCCTCCATGTCGGTGTTCTGCCTCCCTTTGATGTATACAGACAAGTTCTGACTAGAGATGCAGACGGGGGGGGAGTCCCCTTATCCCCATTACCTCAAGTAATTTTTTCTAAGCAACAGTTAAGCGCTCTGAAAATAACTGTATCACTTCTGCTTCTGTTGGGGAGGGAGGGGGAGAGGGACACAAAAAAAGGAGAAGTATAAGAATTATTATTAAAGGAAAGAGGCAACGTCTTCCCAGCTGACGCAGGATGCAAGCGGCAAGCTGGTGCTTGATAATCTACAGCGCAGCCCAGGAAAGAGAGAAAGACAAGCTGAACACCAAGCAGAGGCCAGTAAAGATATGCTGGAAGAGATCCAGATGTCTTGAGCTTAGTCCTACCGCATGAAAAATTAAAGAGGTTAAAACCTCCTCTTAGGAACTTTTCTTCCCATTGTTCTGACTCTCCTGAACAAGCTGCATTGCTCCAGAAACCTCAGGAATTACGGTGACAATAGACTCCTGCCAAGAGAAGCACCATTACATAATAGCATTTATGGGAACAAGCACAAAAAGCCACTAGGAAGCGCAACCAGACAAGTGCAAAATCCTCTCTGCCCATCAGCTGGGTTTAGCTCTCGACCGTTCCAAAGACAACTTCAGGATATTTTTTATTTATTATGTTTACCTCCTCTCACCTCCTTCCACCCAACAAAATCTGCGTTACTCTAACAACACCGAGATCAAGCCCGTTCCCCAACAATAACGTAGCCCCCTTGAGAATGAGCCCACTCCAAACTACTGTATGAATCGGTTTAAAAGAGCACGACAAAGACGAAAAAACGCACTGCTGTTTGCATTAAGTAGTGCTAGAAATGAGAACTATTTGTGATGGTATTTTTTTCCATCTTCTCGGTTTTTACTCGGTTTTAGGGATACTTACGGCAGTTCTTCCTTTCCAGTTCTCAAAAAGCCCAGCGTGACTTATTTTTGAGTTCGGGGTCCTCCGGGGGATTTACGGTGGGATTTGTTACGGGTTCAGCCCAAGCGCTCGCACAGGGGCGAAGGCAGCTGCCAGGGAGGCTCTGACCTTTAGGCACCGCCGAGGCACCACCAGCGAGGACGCAACGACGAAGCCCTTGGCGGACGCGAGGTTTCCCACATGAAGTCACCCGCGGGAGCTGCCTTCGCCCACGCCTTCACCTCAGTCACCACTTTTCCTCCGAGTCTCCCGATGCTTCCCCCCCGCAAGCTCTACGAAAGGAGAAACCGGAGCGCGCTACGAACGCCTCTCGCCGGGTAACTCTGGGGGATTTTTCACATCCGAAGAGCCTCACCCCACGCCAGGGAGGACCCACGAGCCCGAGCGTTCCCTTTAAAACCCGCAGACCGCAGAGAAAACCCAAGTCCGTCCCCG